GCGGGTGCAGCCGCCCGGGCGCTGGCGGCAAAGGGCAGCTGCGTGCTGGTGCCCCCTGTTCGTGTGCAGGATGCACTGGGTGCTGCCACCTACACCGTGGTCAGCTCGCCGGCCGGCAACCTCAGCCTGACGCTGCTGGAGCGCACCGGCTACCGCGGACCCTTCCTGCCCGGTTTCCGCCCTCTGTCCTCCAAAACCGGCCCGGGATGGTTCAGCCACGTGGACCACCTGACCCTGGCCTGCACCCGCGGCAGCTCCCCTACACTGATGCGCTGGTTCCACGACTGTCTAGGTTTTCACCACCTGCCACTGAGCCCAGGTGAGGATCCGGAGCTGGGCTTCGAGGTGACAGCGGGGTCTGGACAAGGGGGGCTGAGGCTCACTGCCCTGCAGACCCGGCCATGCAGTGCTGTCCCCACCCTGGTGCTGGCTGAGTCCCTCCCGGGGGCCGCCGGTGGACCGGACCAGGTGCAGCAGTTCCTGGCCCGGCACAGAGGACCCGGCCTGCAGCACGTGGGACTGTACACACCGAACATCACAGAAGCCACTGAAGGGGTGACTTTGGCGGGGGGCCGGCTCCTGATTCCCCCGAAGGCCTACTACCAGCAGCCCGGCAAGGAACGTCAGATCCGAGCTGCAGGCCATGAGCCCAACCAGCTGGCCCTGCAGGGAATTCTGCTAGACGGCGAGAAGGGCAAGTTTCTGCTTCAGGTCTTCACCAAGTCGCTCTTTGCAGAGGACACCTTCTTCCTGGAGCTGATTCAGAGGCAGGGGGCCACAGGCTTTGGCCAGGGCAACATCCGGGCCTTGTGGCAGTCCGTGGAGGAGCAAGCTGCCAGGGGTCAGGAAGCCTGAGGAGGCCAGAGCTGGCAGCCACCTGTCCTGGAGGTCTGGGGAGTTCAGCACAGGGCCTGGTGGAATAAGCCTTCGTCCCTAGGGGCCAGGTGTGGCCCCCATTTCATCAGTGCCTGCCAGAAGTTGAATCTCTCTCTGGGATCCAAAGAAGTTTGTTTTTTTAACTATAAAACACTTTTTACAGTCTATATCTAAATAAAGAATAAGGGAGTGTAACTCCTTTAGGAAATGGAACACAACCAATACTCTTGAAGACTTTTATGTCCTTCTCTGACCTCATTTCCCTTCACCCACTCCCAATTTTAGGATTATTAACCCCGTGCTTTTCTGTATTGATTCACTACATATGTAATTTATCCCTAAATAAATGATTTCTTATTTGAGGTAGGAATTTAAGACAGAATAAATCTTTCTCTGCTTCTTTCCCTTCTCCCTCGGGAGCAGCCACAGAAGGGGGAGGGGCTAGGTCAAGGCTGAGCCAAACCACTTGCTCTAGAGCAGTGGTTCTCAGCCTTCCCAATGCCAGGACCCTTTAATACAGTTCCTCATGTTGTGGTGACCCCCAACCATAAAATTATTTTCATTGCTACTTCATAACTGTAATTTTGCTACTGTTATGAATTGTAATATAAATATCTGATATGCAGGATGTATTTTCATTGTTACAAATTGAACATAATTAAAGCATAGTGATTAATCACAAAAACAATATGTAATTATATATGTGTTTTCCGATGGTCTTAGGCGACCCCTGTGAAAGGGTCGTTTGACCCCCAAAAGGGTCGCGACCCACAGGTTGAGAAACGCTGCTCTAGAGTGATACCACTGCTACAGAACTAACCAGAGACCTGGAGTGAAGGTGTGGGTATCAGCCACTGGCAGGGACTTCCTGCCGCTGCCTTCTCCCTCTTTCCTGGGGCCGAGGGAGGGCAGAACACTCTGGATAGAACATGCTCCTCTATCTGCCCAGGGCTGCTGGGAGCTCAGCCAGAGGAAGTGAGGACCAAGCAGGACTTGTCCACTTCCTGGAACCCTCAGAGGTGAGGAGGAAGGGGGCTAGGCAGAGGATGGAAAGTCTCCGAAACGACTATAAAAATGAGTACTTTATTAAAAAACAGGATTCTCAAGGGGAGGGCGCTTCCAGATGTGTCACTGGGCCACACCGTTGAGTCTAGGTGCATCTGTGGGGAGATGGGGCCGAAAGAATCGATCCAGGACTTGCTGGCCTGGGCTGGGCTTTTTCCGGCTGGATGGAGTAGACACCTGGGATCGTTTGGAACTCTGTTTGGAAGGCATTAAGGGGGCAGTGAAGAATACTCTCCTTTCACCCCTCCCCCACTCCACTGCTCTAGCTCAGACTCTAGCCTGAATGTAAGAAAGCTTCCAACGTATCTCCAGGATCTGCCTCTTCCATCAACTCTCTAAACAGCGGTCCAAGGTAATCTTCCTCAAATATAAATCTGACTCCTCTCTCCACCTAACATGCTTCAGTGGGCTGTGGTGTTCATGGCCCTGCCGACTGCTCCGGCTAGATGCTCAGAGTTCCCCACACACACAGACTGCACTGTGCCCATCATTACTTACACTACTTTTTATTGTTTTTGTTAATCCTCACTGAGGAGGCCTTTTCCATTGATTTTTAATCATCACCTGAGGATATTTTTTCCATTGATTTTTAGAGAGAGAGAAAACATTGAATGGCTGCCTTCCATGCAGGCCCGACTGGGGCGGGGATCAAACCTGTAACCCAGGTACATGCCCTTGACCAGAATCCTTCAGTGCCTGAGTCAAGATCTAACCACTGAGCAACACAAACCAGGGCTACTTAAACTATTCTTGGGCCGGGAAGAACATCCTTATTGCTGATTCCCTTCCCAAACCTGGAGAAAATGATTCATTTCTAGGACCCACATTCCCAGCCACTTCTTTCAAGCAGCCTTTCCCTGATCCTTTCCTCCCAGACAGACCTGAGAGCTCTCCACCTCATATCCCACAAAATCTAGTACAAACATTTCACACATCTGACACTACTGTCTCCATCATTTTCTCTTGTTCCCTCTCCACCTGGACCCTAGGTGATTCCTCGCCCGCTGGTGAAACTCGGAGTGGACAATGTTCACCCAAATGTGTCCCTTAACTCACTGAAAACCTGTGGATTCAGGCCAGGGACAGAGATGGCTGGGCGAGGGCCAGGGGACTCACCTTGCCGGTCCCCGACTGTTGGCCTTCGTACACGCGGAACACCTAGCCAAGAAGAGAGGGGAGAGTGCAGGCTGGCATCTTCCTCCAAAGAGCCAGAACCCTGTCCTTCTTAATTTTTATTTTTCCTGTTTATATGGTAATAGGTTCATGCAGAACATGTAGGAAGCATAACAAGACAACAAAGATAGTGCCTTTTTCATGGCGGTGGAGACAGCTGCGGTGTGAAACTCTTCCCGAGTCAGCCAGCGAGCGCCAGGTGCTGTGACTGTCACTGGGGCCTGCGCTTCCAGGGCCAGACCATATACTTGATAGGTCAGCTTGATGTGAGAGAAGGTGTGGACCACCTGGGGGAGAACCAAGGGGCTGAAACAGGCCCACGGATGTGGCTGAAAAAGCCATCATTTTTGGCCCCTCACTGCTCACTTACCTGCCCTAGGTGATGCAGGTGGGTGGCTGGGAGGGGCCCAGCCCAATTCTGCAGTTCCTGCAGCAGGGCCTTGCGCTGATGCCGTCCTGAGGGGTCCACAGTCACAGATGGGAACTCCCACAGTCCTGCCAGCAGACCTGAGACAGCGGTCAGCAGGTGTGAGTGAGGCCTTAGCTGTTGACTCCTCCATTCCTCCCCTTTTGCTCACACCACTGCCCTCCACTCCCAGGATCCAGGTACCTGAGTTGGGCCTCTGCACCAGCAGAATCCGGGCACCCCCAGGGGCCCTGGGCTGCTCCAGAACACAGGTGGCAGAGCACTCCTCCCTGGGGGGCTTACGGCTGGCCTTTCTGGGAAAGTTGGCCACTCCCAGCGTCTGGTCCCAGGGCTCTGTAGGAGGTGCGCACAGCTGGCACTGTCCAGTGTTGGGAGCTGGGAACAGAGATCCCAAGCCCCACTCAGGCCAAGTGGGCTTAAGTGCCAGGCCCAGAGAGCAGGTCTTGGCCCAGCTGTGCAGAATCTAACAGGCTGTAGGATGAACTAGAATGAGGCTTCCCAGGCAGCTCAGTGACAGTGCAGGGAAGGGCTGGGGCTAGAAACGGCACTCACCACACTCCTCCACGTCAGGACTGCCTGGCAGGCTCTGTGAGGCTGGAAGCTGCTCCCGCTCCACCTGACAGACATAGGGAAGGAAGTCACGGTGCACGGGGGACTCCCTAGGACCTCACTGTCCCTTCCCCAGATGGCTCACCCTCTGGTGTGCCCGGCACAGGCTCTGGACAGGGCACTGGCTGCAGTGTGGGTGTTGCGGGGTGCACACGATGGCTCCCAGCTCCATGGCTGCTTGGTTAAAGTCTCCGGGCCGGGCTGGGTCTACCAGCTGCTGGGCTAGGCTCCTACCAGAAAGGAACATTCCTGTGAGCCAAAGATCCTTTGGGGGCACCCCTCCCAATGTCCTGCATTACCCCAGTATCCTACCAGAGCTGCTGGGAGACAAAGGTGTTGCTGGGATCGGCACCAATGCCTCGGACACGGCATAGCACCCGCACTACGTTTCCATCTACCACCCCGGTCACCTGACACAGAGGAGACCAGGAGTCAGCCTGGTCTGGGAGGAAAGTGGGCACCCACAAAATGGGGGTGGACTATGGGCTCACCTGGCCAAAGGCAATGGAAGCAATGGCTCCAGCTGTGTACCGCCCCACGCCAGGCAGGAGCCGCTGCAAGGTCTCTGCTGTGCGTGGCACATGGCCCCCGAGCTCCCCTACCACCTGATGGGGGTGGGAAAGGTTCAAGGTCAGGAGACATCTGGGGGCCTGGGGATCCCACCCTCCCTGCTATCCCCTTACCTTCCGGGCTCCCTCCTGCAGCCGCCGGCCTCGGGAGTAGTACCCCAGGCCAGCCCAGAGCTGGTTCACTTCCTGTGGGTGGGGTCAGAGGTCAGAGAAATCAGCACTCGGTCCTCTGTTGTCCTCATTTCCCCCTCCCCTAGGGTGGGTCTCACCTCCAGGGAAGCACTGGCCAGATCCTGCAGTGTTGGCCACTTCTATAGCCAGAAGACAGGCAAAAATAGAGAGGTCAAGGGTGAGGAAGGAAAAAGAAGCCTTCTTTCCCCCCAGCCCAAAGACCAGGTCTCATCTGGGGTCTAGCCCATCACCCTCCCCTTCCTTCCCTGAAGTCACCTGCATCCATCTGGTATAATAGTCGATCACCGTGGCAACCTGGGTCTGCTGCAGCATGACCTCTGAGACCCATACTGGGGAAGAGGGGTTGGCATGAGGACACTGCTGACCTGCCCTGCTCCTAGCCCATAGCCCTGATCCAATCTGAGGGTGTCCGGGCAGAAAGCAGCTCTGTTCTCAGGAGATGTACTCACCAGCATATGCCCGCCTATCCAGGTCCACCTCACCCTCTGCCTGCCAACGCAATCCCAGATGGGGAGTTAGTGTGGAGGGGGCTGGGCACTAGCCTCCCACCCCGGTCCCTGTCCCTTGCCTGCCTACCCGCCTTCTCCAGGGCAGGTCCCGCTTCTTTTGGTCATACCAGCTCAGCAGGCTCTCCCGGAAGACTGTGACCTCGGCTGTATCTCTGAATTGGTAGTACGGGGAGACAGAGGCCTGCAATACCACCTCCTCCTGACGCCTGGCCTGGCCTGCTGGGGCCTCAGGAAACTCAGGAGTTGTCCCTGCACAGGCTGTGCACCAGGAACCTGGGACACTACAGCCTGGTTGCAGTCTGCTTCCACTTAGGGCTCCCCCCACCCCTGACCCCTTGACCTGGAGTCAGTCCAGAATCATCTAGCTGTGTGTAGCCTTAGCCAAGTTTCTAGCCTTAATCTTCCCAGAGTGGCATTGCTGGCTCCTTTTTCTCTGGGTTATAGTGAAAATCCAACAGTTTCAGTCAAGCATAACATACCTGTGCAGGGATTTCCCATTTACAAAATACTTTCAGGCAGATCAACTCATTTGATCCTATGAAAGCCACATGAGGAAGAAAATGCACAGACTACTGTCCATGTCACTGGCAAGAAAGCAGCCGTTCAGAGCAATTATCCCAAAATCACATTGCAAAGTCAGAATTAGACCCTTCATTAGTCCCTTCAGGCTTGAATCTGCCCCCTTTCATAGCCAGTGAAACCAGCCCATGAGTTTTTTACTAGGTCTGAGCTCCTCACCATCAGGGATAGTAGGCCTGGCCTGGCTGCTGCTGAGGGCATGTTTCTCCCTTTCCTCCCCACTGGATGTCTGCTTCCTGCGACGACCTCCCACAGCTGCGCGTGGCTTCTTCATGACGATCTAGAACACAAAGGCCCAGCCAAAGTAGTCAGTCAAAATTAGGCTGAATCTTGGGGCCCTTTAGGGGGTGGAGTCACCTCCATCCCTACACCATTCACAGCTTTTCTCAATAACTCTCTAGACTGGCCAGTGTGCTCAGTGGTTGAACTCACTGGCTCGATTCCTGGTTAGGTCACGTGCCCAGGTTAGGTTGTGGGTTCTATCCTCAGTAGGGGTCTACAGGAGCCAGTAGGGGGCATGCAGGAGGCAGCCACTCAGTGGTTCTATCTCCCTCTCCCTTCGTCTCTGAAAAATCAATAAAAATCAATAAAAATCAACAAAAACAACTCTCTAGTTCAGTGGTTCTCAACCTGTGGGTCGCGACCCCTTTGGGGGTCAAACGACCCTTTCACAGGGGTCGCCTAAGACCATCGGAAAACACATATATAATTACATATTGTTTTTGTGATTAATCACTATGCTTTAATTATGTTCAATTTATAACGATGAAATTGGGGGTCACCACAACATGAGGAACTGTATTAAAGGGTCGCGGCATTAGGAAGGTCGAGAACCACTGCTCTAGATGCTCATGAGCTTGCTCTTGACTGGCTGTGGCCCTGAGGTATGACCAATAGGGCTGAGCTTCTCCAATGGCCTAAGAGGGACCAGCATTAGTATAGTCCTGGAGACGTGCACAGAGTAAGAGGCCAGGGCTGGGCTGGGTCAAGGACCAAAAGCTTTCTGTGTGGGAGCACCTGTGCATACCTGATGCTTATTGTGACTACGTGTGTGGACAGGGGTTCTTTAGATGTGTCTAGGACAGGGATGGCGAACCTATGACACGCGTGTCAGAGGTGACACGCAAACTCATTTTTTTGGTTGATTTTTCTTTGTTAAATGGCATTTAAATATATAAAATAAATATCAAAAATACAAGTCTTTGTTTTACTATGGTTGCAAATATCAAAAAATTTCTATATGTGACACGGCACCAGAGTTAAGTTAGGGTTTTTCAAAATGCTGACACGCCGAGCTCAAAAGGTTCGCCATCACTGGTCTAAGAGCACGGGCGTGGGTAGGAGGGTTATCTGCTTAGAGACGCAGCACGTTTACAGTGAAGGAGTCTTTAACAGTCATCTAGCCCAAACCTTCATTCTGTAGAAAGGAGAAACCAAGGCTCAGAAAGGGGAAAAGATTTGCCTGAAAGCAGATGTCAAGTCGGGGTTGGAGGGAGAGAGATGAGCTATTTTTATGCCTAAACTTTTGTGATCTAGAAAATCATAGCCAGCTGACCATTAGCAAAGAGAAAACGCATCCGGTTGATCTTCATTTCTCCCTTACTGTACTTGTAGCTGCCTTTTTCTAATAGTTGAATGTAGCTAACAGTCAGTGCTGACTATACTCCAGACCCTAAGTGCTTTACCAGATTTCTCAATCTCCTGATGATACCATGAAGTATGTTCTAGTATGACTTCTATTTCAGTTATGAGGAAACTGAGGCTTGTAGAGATTAAGCAACTTGTTCACTCCAACCCGAAAGGTTTGCTTCCAGAGTCTATTCTTGCAC